TCAGCATCTGTTATCCGGACACATCAAAATAACTGAAAAAAATTACGCCCACTAAATTATGTTATCTACTACCACAAACAAACTTCATAATTCGAAATTGGCATATCATATCTTGACTCTGACGAACTTTGTCATGAATCAGCAATCGTTTAGATTAGGTTTGAACATTAGGTATGAATATTTTACAGAGGCTTATCAATTTACCCGTAGAGTCCATTGACACAACTAGGAGACGTTATACGTACACAAAATGGAATAAACAATCTTACAAACTCTGAAAGATATTTTGGGGGCGCTAATGTAAAAGCATAAAATATGTTAATTTCACATACGGTAAAGGAATAACATCGTGTAATAAAAATCAAACCCGCAAAATTATAATTTGCGTAATTACTGGTGGTAGGACCTCTTGTGAGTCCACACGGGTAGGTACCACCACCCCGCCTATTTCTGCCGTGAAGCAGTAATGCGTTTCGGTTTGATGGGTGGGGTAGCCGTTGTCACTATACTGAGACCTTAGAACTTATATCTCAATGTGGGTGGCGCATTTACGTTGTAGATGTTTATGGGCTCCAGTAACCACTTAACACCAGGTGGGCTGTGAGCTCGTCTACCCATCTAAGCAATAAAAAATAAATCGTATTATTGCTCTTTGCAGGGTGACAGTGGTGGTCCTTTGGTCCATAAAAAGAAATTGGCCGGCATCGTTTCTTGGGGGCTTGGCTGTGCGAGACCAGAATACCCAGGGGTCTACACGAAGGTGTCCGCGCTAAGGGAATGGGTCGACGAAAACATAACCAATCTGAGACTGAAGCATATTTTAAGGAGATTTTAAACAACTGTTCAGGGCAATTATTTGAAGAATAAAATTATGAAATGTAATTAAAGGCTTTTTTGTAAATGAACGCGTAAACAGAGTGGATTCTGTTTTAATAGGACATCTCAGACGTCTCTCAAACATCTCAGATTCATCTCTTACCAAGAGCGACGGGACACGTCATCACGGATACTCCCGGTCCATTAACTGTGCTTTTAGGTACTTCAAGCACCGGTAACCGTCCTCGTCGAACCAGTCGCTTGCGACGAAGGGCTTGGCGTGTATATTAACTCATAAACACAACCCACTGACATTCTCGCCGGATCTTCTCAGTGGGTCGCGTTTCAAATCCGGTGGTAGATTCAGCGAAGCACTGCTCTTGCTAGGGCCAGTTTTAGCAAGCTTCCGGTTTGAGACCCGAGAGCTCACCTACACGCTAAGGTAACACTGAAATAGCCTCTCAAGGATATCAGCATAGGTAGGGAAAAAAGGGCGAGAAAGCCATTCGCTCTCCGCATTAACTCGTCGCTATCGAGCCGGAAGTCCTTTTAAAAATCTCGCTAAAGTTCTGGTTTCCTCAGATCTTGGTCCCCTATGTATGCTACTTTAGGAACACGTGAGGGAAAACCAAAAAGATGACGTGTAAATTGCTATTTGATACGCGTTTTGCGAAAAAGCAACCCGGTGACGGATAACTGCCCTCCTCTCGCCGGCTTAATGGCTCCCCGAGAAACCTGAGGGTATGAGCTGGCGGTGACACATCCAATTTTTTATTTCATTTACTCAAATAAGCTCCTGAGACCAACTTCAAGTAGTCACGAGCACAAATTTTTCAAATACACAAATCAAGCAGATTCCTTTGATTACGTTAATTACTAAAAAACAGATTTCTCAGATTATTGACCTCCTATTCTTGCATATTTGTACATACGCTTCCATAATGATGTAAGGTTATTGGACTGATTAATTTTAATACGTAGTCAACGTATTACCCTAACGATACAAGTTCAAAGTCAGCAAACAATTTCGCGATTTCTTTATCGAATTAAATGGTTTAATGACGACGAAACGGAGTCATTACTGCTGTATTTTATACTTATTAAAGTAATTGGCCCTACCTTGGAGTCCCAACGTGTGCTTATCAGTTACAAATAATAATCGTTGGCAAAATTTGACGGGTTCATTTTGTATTGCTTTACTGGTGGTAGGACCTCTTGCGAGTCCGCACGGGTAGGAACCACCACCCCGATTATTTCTGCCGTGAAGCAGTAATGCTTTTCGGTTTTAAGGCTGGGGCAGCCGTTGTAACTATACTGAGACCTTAGAACTTATATCTCAGGAGCGTGGCGCATTTACGTTGTATATGTCTATGGGCTCCAGTAACACCAGGTGGGCTGTGAGCTCGTCCACACATCTAAGCAATATATATATATATATATATGTAGTATAACGATTATGATGAATATGGAAGTTGTTTTCAAAGTGAAGTAGACACAATATGGCATACAACTTTTATGTAGCTTTATGATTAGAAACTTTCGCTAGAAAGAATCAGCGACGTTACCAAATAAGGATAAAATTCGCCCATTGTTCAAATTATACGACAATGGTAATTTCTCTTGAGGAACACGTGCCTTACACGAAATCAAAAGATAATTTTACCATAAGCCAATCGTGAAGTAATTTGGGAGAGAGAGGGAGAAAGAGTATTCTTTATTGTACACCAAAAAACAATAAAAAATGCGAAACATTAAATACCAAAAAAGGTACAATTGGCGGTCTTATCGCTAAGGGCGATCTCTTCTAGACAACCATCAGGTGGTCAAGAATCATTAGGAAACAAATTACACGCGGTATACCAATCATTTGAAATATACATACATACACAAATACCATGTTTTTTTTAATATATTATTATTAATAGACGTAATTACTCTAGTCTTTTTAGTCTTAGACTTAAAGGAGAAACTTCTTAGTGTGGCCACAAAGCATTCTTGTTTTTTTGCCTGCCTATCTGTCAGTAGAACCGATCTCACAGGGTTCAGCCTGAAAGAATTTACCTTATGCCTTGCCTTAGGGACGCAGTAATTCCTTGTGATTTAATTTTATATCCTACAACTAAAACTTCGTTCTCCACTTTACGCTAGAAGGGCAGTGAGCTGATCTGCCAATTCAATGGAAAAATCCATATATAATATATAAAAATGAATTGCTGTTCGTTAGTCTCGCTAAAACTCAAGAGCGGCTGTTTTCCCTATGATGTGTCCCCCGTCGGACGGATTCATTTTGTTTGTGTTAAGTTTATTTTATACAAAAGTTTAGGTCTTTTAATAATAATAATAATCAGCTAGTAATAATAATGAACAGCTGATGGTGACAGGAAAGGTAGATGGCAAACGTCCCAGAGGACGCAGTCCCACGAGATGGTCGGACCAAATACGATCTTCTCTGAGCATCAATTTCCATAATGCCCTTCATGAAGCAAAGGATCGCGGCAGATGGAGGGAAGTCGTATGGGAGAAACTGATGAAGCGGGGGAGTCTCGACCCTCAGTAAGGAGGAAAACGACGCGAGGAGGAATAATAATAGTTTAGTTCGATGACCTCGCTGATATCTTAGGATTAATATACAAACAGACAGTTATCGTGTTAGGACATTCTATCTCAGACCTTTGAGTATCTGACTCTGCGCAAATACGTATTTGAATATAAAGCTATATATAAGTACTAGTATACAATGCTTAAACACGTTCTTTGTAATTTGCAAAGGCTATCCACGGTTTAATACCGTCCCGAGGAAGTTTCCGCCCAAGTGCCGAGTTATCTGGAGATCAGCCAAGAATTATTACATAAGTCCCGGGATGTTTTATTAGTGCCGTTCCGGTAATAGCGCCGCACCGAAAATATTTTCGGCAAATTGTCATATTCGCGTTAATCTAAATTAAGGTTTAATTTCTTAGCTTCGTAACTTTCTTGGGGAATTGATTTACATGTAGGTACATAGTTCGAAGTTCTAAGAGCGTTATTTGTTCTACTGTTTTTTTTTCAATAGCTCGTTGAAAATGGAAAGAAATGTCGAGAAAAGACTTATTCAAATTCGTTGTGATAGTCAAAATAAATGAGCATTTGGGAAACAAAAGTTCATTAAACTGGTGGTAAGACCTCTTGTGAATCCGCACGGGTAGGTACCACCACATCGCCTATTTCTGCCGTGAAGCAGTAATGCGTTTCGGCTTGAAGGGTGGGGCAGCCGTTGTAACTATACTGAGAACTTAGAACTTATATCTCAAGGTGGGCGGTGCATTTACGTTGTAAATATCTATGGGCCCCAGTAACTACTTAACACCAGGTGGGCTGTGAGCTCGTACACCCATCTAATCAATAAAAAAAGCACATAAAGGGGAAGCAAATTAAATAAATATACATTGCAGAGTCCTAAGCCTGGATGTCCTCCTCTTTTGTGCTTTGCCAAGTTTAGGTTTTGCTTCTGTGTTTTGGGCGTTGGAAATACATACGAGGAAAATGTCCACACAATACTACAAATTAGACTATTATATCTAACATCTGATACCGCATTATACATAGTATTTTATTTGGCTTTCAAAAGCCGTATACATGTTCTAAATTACTATTTCGGTTTAATTTAGCGTTAAGTAATTTTTGTCTTCATTAAATTATTCGCGACAAATTATCTGCGATTACCGAAATTTAGATTAATTTTTTTTCTGTTATCTTTTAACTTTTTTCTTGAAAATTTGTGGAAAAAATTACTAATAAAAACAAAGTTAATACTAATAATAACACTCAAGGTTACGTATAGATATAACCCAAAAAAGGAATTGGTTGTTATACAAAGAAAAAAAAAAAATTAATGCCATGTCTTTGCCAATGTCTTTGCCTATTTATAGATATTTAAAATAGATTCTATTTAGTACACACCGTCCAATAAAATTTATAGATAACCAATATATTTTAATTACAATTCTAATTATTCAACTGTCGATTGTTCAAGAATAAAAACAATAGAAATTATGGAAATTTATTCTATAAATAACTATCATAATTCACGATCAGTTCTAGATGTATGATATACGATAATTAGCAAGAATAAATCGACTATGATTATAAATATAAAACAGGGAGTGAATCTGTTAGTGATTTTATTGTCTGGAAGTTGGCTAAAGATGCCAAAACACATCGTTGTTGGATTCATGCTCAGTTTGTCTGTAGTGGATTGCGCAAACATTTTGGCCTTTTTTCCAACACCCTGAATAAGTCATCAGGTTGTCTTCCGTCCTATAACACAGGGACTAGCCAAACGTGGACATGAGGTTGTAGTCGTGACCACAGACCCAGCGTTTCCAAAAGGACAGGCACCAACAAACCTCACTGAAATAGACGTTCACGATATCTCCTACCACCTCATGAGAGAGGTTTTCGTAACAAACTCTTCGGGATACAAGAGCGGTGCCTTCGATAAAGTAAAAGCAACCTTTGAGAGGCTAATAGTCATATTTGAAAAGCAGATACAATTTGAAGAAGTGAAAAACATACTAAGGGATAAAACAAAGAAATTTGATTTGTTGATATTAGAAGCTTGTGTCAAACCAGCTTTAGTACTTTCTCACGTTTATAAAGCTCCAGTGATTTTAGTAAGCTCGCTAGGGCCTATTTATGGTAACTTGGAGAATCTGGCAGGACCTGTACATCCTTTGTTGTACCCAGGACCTTTCAGCGATAGAAGCTACAACTACACTCTCTGGGATAAAATTACAGAGCTGTGGAATCATTGGAAATACCAAAATATGCTGGATGACATGCAAGATTCTGATAACGAAATGATTCGGCGGAATTTTGGACCTAATGTACCAGATATTAGGGAACTAGGAAAGAATGTAGATATGTTTTTCGTGAATTTGCATCCGCTATGGGATAATAACAGGCCAGTACCACCGAACGTTGTTTACATTGGTGGTATACATCAAACGCCCGATAAAGAATTACCGAAAGTAAGTTTTTTTTTTTTATTGCCTAGATGTGTGGACGAGCTCACGGCCCACCTGGTGTTAAGTGGTTACTAGAACCCATAGACATCTACAACGTAAATGCGCCACACACCTTGAGATATAAGTTCTAAGGTCTCAGTATAGTTACAACGGCTGCCCCACCCTTCAAACCGAAACGCATTACTGCTTCACGGCAGAAATAGGCAGGGCGGTGGTACCTACCCGTGCGGACTCACAAGAGGTCCTACCACCAGTAAATACTGAAAAACTATTAGATGAAACGGTTTCTGAATTTGTCTCGAGTGATACAACTATGCCGTGCCTAAAACTCCTGTATAAAATTTATTTTAGATTAATATCCACTCTACACTTGTCCGTAAGCTACTTATATATAGCTACTTATATATACTTTATAATATAGGTATTTCTCCATTTAATTTTTTTAGACGGGTTGCGTGTAAGCTGTGGTGTCTACGGACTCGGCTAGTGACTTTGTATCAAGCAGCAGAGTTGGATGCAGAATACTCCCGATAAAGTAAACTGGTGGTAGAGCCTCTTGTGAGTTGGGTAGGTACCATCACCCTGCCTATTTCTGCCGTGAAGCAGTAATACGTTTCGGTTTGAAGGGCGGAGCAGCCGTTGTAACTATACTGAGACCTTAGAACTCATATCTCGAGGTTGGTGGCGACATTTACGAACCCATCTATGCAATAAAAAAGATGTGTGGTGTCGTGGGACACCGGATAGGAACGACTTTCCTTATTATAAAAATAATAATTTTAAGTTTTATTCGAGGTATAAAGAAAATAATTATTCGGGTATACATTTTTTTATTGATAAAAAAAAACTACTTTACAAAGTTATCAATTTTATTTTATTCACAATGACTTATAAAAATCTATATAACAAAAAAATATGTTATTTTTTGTAGATTATTACAAAGTTAAGTCGTACACTGTGTGCATCACTAATAAAAATCTTACGTTACGGACGCTTTTTCCCGGTTAGTGTACCGCATCGTCCCATAAGGAACTTCGTTCCAAAAATATATAAAAAAATTGTTAGAAGCAACACGAGATCAAGCCGCGAAAGAACCTTTGATTAAGGAATTAAATAAAACATCGGCAGGAACATGATTGTTATAACCGATAATGCTAAAGCAGCTTTCGTATTTCAGGATCTAAAATCGTACTTGGATTCGTCAAGGAACGGCATTATTTATGTTAGTTTTGGCTCGAACGTCGAACCTTCGATGTTCCCTCGGCACGTTTTCGATACCATACGTAACGTCCTATCGAAATTACCGTATGACGTTTTATGGAAAATGGATTTAGATAAATTACCAGGGAAAGCAGAAAATATTAAAATTGGAAAATGGTTTCCCCAATCTGACCTTTTAAGTGAGTATCAAAACGGAATGGGGTTTATATTGAGTGAAGAAATACGTGTATGATGCAATATTGTAGCCATGTTGTACGTAATGTTGTAAGCCAATGTTGTAACGGCCGTCTGGTGTAGTGGTAAGTGACATGGTCACTACACAAGGGGGTCGCGGGTTCGAATCCCGCCAACGGAAGATATTTGTATGATAAATATAAATGTATTTTCCAGGGTTATGGATGTATATTAAATATATGTATGTGTATAATAAAAATCTTACATTTATATCCGTTATCTGGTACCTGTAACACAAGTTCTTTACGAACTTATCACGGGACCAGTTAACGTGGCGTGATTGTTAGTAAATATTTATTTATATGTTTATTTATTTATTTATTTACTCTCGTAAGTAAGTAGTACCATGTATAAACATAGTGCTTTAAAAAGATTAATATGGACCACCTCCATAAACTTGCCATGGATCTTCATTCTAAAAATCTTTTCATTTTATTACTCACACACGTAAACAAGAAATTCTGGTGTTAGATTTGAGGTCTGTGTTTGAATTGTATAGTTGTTACGCAAATTACAACTTTTTTCGGATTTCATTTTTGGTATACGATTTTATTCCTTCTTCAAGTTATTTGTGAATATGAATCAAGTACGTATTACATTAGCAAAAATTATTACCTGCCTGCGGGGCTTTTACACTAGCGCACACAAAGTCGAGTGCACCAGGCGTCTTATTCTCTAGGCCACGACGACTTGCAGTAAAGTATTCTATTTCTAGAAGAAAAAAAAAGCTTTCCTCATTGTGGTTTCTACTGAAAAAGCCTTATTCAAGAAGTAACAATTATCAAATAATGTTAACATTATTGACCTGTAATGCCCTAGCCCTTAAAATTTTGTAAACAATCGGTTATCGAAATTACAAATATATGCATTTGACGGGTGCTAAGTATATGTACTACTATTTTAAATTGTAATGAATTTGCAATATTTGAGTGGTGTTTGAAGTTTGAAGATCACGTGTTGACTAAAGACTGCAAAATGCAAATGAAATTATGAAACTGCGGTAGGCGGCGGCTTGGCTCTGCCCCTGGCATTGCTGAAGTTCATGGGCGACGGTAACCACTCACCATCCGGTGGGTCGTAAGCTCGTCTGCCTACAAAGGCAATAAAAAAAAAGTTTAATGATTTTAGCATATTAAAAATAAGACCCGAATCTGTAAGCTCATATCTGTCGGGAAGCAATCATACAATTTGGTTTGATGGAGATGTCCCTATCAAACAAGAATATTGTGACTTCGACGTTATATTTCAAGTTGACGTCTTAAGTGGACCATGAACTAACCTGCCAAACTAGAATAAAGAACCACAAAAAGGCTACTGAAGTATTAACAATTGCAATCCATTTCAGAGCATCCTAAAGTCAAGCTATTCATAACTCAAGGTGGCTTACAATCCACCGACGAATCGATCGTGGCTGGTGTTCCCTTTGTGGGTATACCTATGGTCTCCGACCAATGGTTCAATACCGATCAGTACGTTAAGCACCAGATCGGCGTTAAGTTGTACATGGAAACAATTGATGAGGAAAAACTCACGGACGCCATTACAACCGTACTTGAAGACGACCGGTAAATTCTAACATCATTGATATAGGACCTTAGTGTGAAAAGAAAATACGTACTTAACAAATGTCCACGATTGACTTCCACGGTGAAGGGATAACATCGTGTAATAAAAATGAAACCCGCAAAATTATAATTTGCGTAATTACTGGTGGTAGGACTTCTTCTGAGTCCGCAAGGGTAGGTACCACCACCCCGCCTATTTTTGCCGTGAAGCAGCAATGCGTTTCGGATTGAAGGGTGGAGCAGCCGTTGTAACTATACTGAGACCTTAGAACTGATATCTCAAGGTGGGTGGCGCATTTACGTTGTAGATGTCTATGAGCTCCAGTAACCACTTAACATCAGGTGGGCTGTGAGTTCGTCCAATCATCTAGGCAATAAAACAAAGTGGTGTATTTTACGCCCTTTTGGTCTTGATTGCCATATGACCTCAATATAGATATAGATATAGATAGTTTCTCCCGAAAATATACTTCCTGTTTATATGAATAAAAGTATAAAATATAAATAAAAACTATTGATGTTGTTATTTTCTAGATATCGTCAGAATATAGTTCGTTTTCGTTCTCTGGTGTACGACCAGCCCCAGAGCCCCCTAGACCGAGCCGTGTGGTGGACGGAGCATGTCCTGCGTCACGGAGGAGCAAGGCATCTCCGATCAGCGGGAGCCACCTTGACCTGGTCAGAATACCTAGAGATACCGTTAATTATGAAAATTCTATCAACAATTTTCCTATTTTCATTAGCGTCACATTATACAATAATGAAACTCTACAAATTACATTTTAATGTATGTAAACCTAAATTAAAAAAGATGTAAATTTCTAGGAGAATTACATGGGTTTTTTTCCTGATACAGTTTTAGTCGTCAGTTTAATTAACTAATTTACTGGTGGTCGGACCTCTTGTGAGTCCGCATCGGTAGGTACCACCACCCTGCCCTTCTGCCGTGAAGCAGTAATGCGTTTCGGTTTGAAGGGTGGGGCAGCCGTTGTAACTGTACTGAGACCTTAGAACTTATATCTGAAGGTGGATGGCGCATTTACGTTGTAGATGTCTAGGGGCTCCATCTTAACATCAGGTGGGCTGTGAGCTCGTCCACTCATCTAAGCAATAAAAATAATAATAAAATAATCGCCTGTTCAATAGCTGTAGACAATAGAGGTCGTACTTTGACCGCGATATAATCGTTGAGCACTCTGTCGACAATCTTCAGTGCATACGCATTCACCAACTGCTTGGATGTCATTTGTACGATATCAGTCCGTGAATGCACGTGTCGCATACTATTCTCTGTTACTTTCATCAGTAGTTCTTGTTTCCAGTGGAAGTTAATTTTTAACGTATCCTTTCATGAGATCTTTAGGAGCTAAACGGGAGTACAATATTTAAATTCAATTCAAAAATTTCCATGTGCTAGAAACAGTGCAGTGCAGTGTTAGAAACTGAATTGAAATTAATTTTGATGTTCCTTCAATGTTCGTATTGAGTTATCGAACGCTTTCGTAAATAAAAAAAATTGTTGGTAAGTCAAAATAAATAACACTTAATTATTCAATACGACTTATAAATTTCGTTCATTGCACTTCATGGGAATCTAAAATGTTTATCCTTATCTAAAAAAGAAAAAGGTTCGATTTTCTTCAACACATACTGTTCACGCGCATGCCACGTGATGACGAGGAGAGGAGGAAGGGGCGAGGCTTTGGTTGGGAAAAGAAGAAAAAGGTTCGATTTCCCTCAGCACATACTGTTCACATGCATGCCACGTGATGACGAGGAGAGGAGGAAGGGGCGAGGCTGTGGTTGGGAAAAGAAGAAAAAGTTTCGATTTCCCTCAACACATACTGTTCACGTGCATGCCACGTGATCACGAGGAGAAAAGGAAGGAGACGAGGCTGTGGTTGGGATCGCGGAGGGGGATTCTGGGCACCCACACCCCTGTTGTTCTGGTTTCGGCCTCCACGTCGTACCACCCCCGCGGATGGGATAGGAGCGAAGGTCGGTCGGGCGGCCCGATCCCGCGGGCTGATTAATGTGTCGTTTCTCGAAGATTCTGCATGCCAGTGAACTTTTTTTATTTATTGCATATATGGTTGGATGAGCTTACAGCCCATCTGATGTTAAGTGGTTACTGGAACCCATAGACATCTACAACGTAAATGCGCCACCCACCTTGAGATATAAGTTCTAAGGTCTCAGTATAGTTACAACGGCTGCCCCGCCCTTCAAACCGAAACGCATTACTGCTTCACGGCAGAAATAGGCGGGGCGGTGGTACCTACCCGCGCGGACTCACAAGACATTTGTTGAGTACGTATTTCATTAGAAAATATGGTACCCGCCAGCGAGATTCGAACACCGGTGCATCGCTCAACACGTATGCACCGGACGTCTTACTTATCCCTGAGGCCGCGACGACTTTAAAAAAAAAACCTTGCAAACCTTGTCTTCGAACAATAGACAAGGTCGCACAGTCACGACATGCAGTGTCAGTTTAAAATCAGATTCTCCACACTGCGCCACGTAGAAAGGCTAGATGGAGTTAATTAAAAAAAAAAAATTGACATTAAATTTGCTGGCGTTATAATAGTACAAAAGTTTAAATAATTTGTTATCCATTAGTTCGTCGTGAAATGTCTTATGTGCTCTTCCTCATACTGTGGAACTGCATTGTTTTGTGTTTGTATTTATTTACGATCAGCTGATGAAGAAGGTAATATTTTAGTGCGACTGCTGTGTGCGAAGGCGAGAGTGGAGCCAATAGCGATGACTATCCCTCGTCTCGAGCTCAGCTTAGCATTGCTCGGGGCTCGACTGTCAGCAAAGGTAATTAAATCTGTTTCGCTTATTGACGTGACAACGTCTTATAATTCGATGGAGCCGGCTGCACGCACGAAAAAACATGACTCATGCGGCGTTACCTCGCTCTGAGGCGTTCCATTTAAAGCTTGAAGTGCAAGCGAGAGCGCGCAACGAGCGACAAAGAGGCACAATCGGCCTCCGCGTTCAGCAGCGTTCGACATCTGTCTCTCTCCTACTTGAGTGAGCGATGCATCCGCGTGGACAGCTGCTATACAATAATACATTTACATGTTTTCGTCAAGTATGAAGTTCAGTGAAAAGTGAATGTGGTGTCAATTGTCCATACAAAATAGCTATCAAACAAATAAAATTAAAATTTTGTTTTGAAAAATGAAATTTCATTCCATCAGTATTTTCTTATGACGTTGTCACGTTCAACTATCGTCAGTAAGCCGACTTTACAGACAACCGATCTTTTTATNAATAATACATATTTACATGTTTTCGTCAAGTATGAAGTTCAGTGAAAAGTGAATGTGGTGTCAATTGTCCATACAAAATAGCTATCAAACAAATAAAATTAAAATTTTGTTTTGAAAAATGAAATTTCATTCCATCAGTATTTTCTTATGACGTTGTCACGTTCAACTATCGTCAGTAAGCCGACTTTACAGACAACCGATCTTTTTATTACTAGGAAGATCACGTGGACTGATTCAACCATCGTGTTGGGCTGGATAAAGGCTCAACCGAAGGTACTGAAAACCTTTGTTGCCAATCGAGTCTTTGAGGTCAATGAACTCACATAGGGCTTTTCATGGAGGCACGTTCCCACTGATCTCAACCCTGCAGATCTTGCTTCTAGAGGAGTGGACCTACAGCGTCTGCAGGCTGAGCCCTTGTGGTGGGAAGGACCTTCTTTTCTCAGGAAGGACTCGTCTGGCTGGCCTCTGCAGCCTAACGCCACTACAGTTGATTTGCCTGAACTGAAAGTTCACAAAACACTAGATAACTTAGCTGAATCGAATAAAGCTCCTTTCATTGATTTTTCTAAGTTATCAAATTTTAATGTTTTAACACGTACTGCTCCGTACCTTTTGCGTTTTATTTACAACTGTAAAAATAAAAAGGAAATTAGATTAGTAGGGAATTAACAAGTGGAGGAACTAAATATATAAATAAAAAAACTCTCACTAAGCTATTCCAAAGTGAATCATTTGAAATGGAGCTTTGCACATAGAGTGAGTCTGGCTGTCCAACGAGGTAACGTAGCCAGTATCTTGGGAACTATGCCTCCTTCAAGGGCATTGGAAGATTTGGTCTACTGTGTTAGTTGATTTATGTTAAATTATTTTGATTTGTTATATTATAAAATTATAAATAAGTGCAATAAAGTATGTATCTCCAATGGAGCTACAATCGCTTTCTAATTATAATTCATTGAATTATATTATATAGGAATGGAAAAATCTAAATTTAGTTATAATAAAAAACATCCATCATTTTAGCGCGCCCAGTAAGCGAGCGCACAGCGCCGCCCGGCCCGCCAGAACCAACCGAACTACGACGGCGAATGCGCATGCACGCGCCTCGATCCATTTTCATACAAATTTTAATTCGAATTAACAAAAACCGTTGCAAAGTAATAAAAGTTGTTTAAATTTAAAGTTAATTGTTTAATTAACACATACAAATTGAACAGCAAACGCGCTCAGACATGCTGTTCAAATTATTGATTTTAATCGCTGCTATATTGATGTGTTGGAACGTAGAAAGTGCTAGAATTTTAGCTGTCTTCCCTACACCTTCGATCAGCCATCAAGTAGTGTTTCGACCTGTTACTCAAGAGCTGGCCAGAAGAGGACACCAAGTCACTGTGATCACAACTGACCCTGCGTTCCCAAAAGGTCAAACTCCGGACANTCTGCCCCCTCCCTCTTCATTGAAGTACCCATATATACTTCAACCCGGGCAGTCTGTCGATGCACGGACATCGACGATCGCGCGGCGCGGGCGCCGGGAGGAGGACAGCGGCGCGGGGTAGCGGATGGACACCGGCTTCGTCACTTCGTGCAGCAACGCCGCCCGCGACACTTACTTGTTTATCTTGTTTTACTTTTTTTATAAACTTACCAAATACTACAGTCCACTCTTTTATTTTATACATCACCGGTCTACCCCAGAGCAGTTCGAAACAGTGTTTTAATGTATCCGAAGCGAAGCGAGGGCGGGTCGCTAGTCTCTTATAAATACAAAGTTCCATTAATATTATTCAGCTCGTTTGGCACTGTCCATGGTTCTTTAGAAGCTGTTACAGGACCGTTCCATGCCTTCTTGAATCCGGGCCAAATGCAAAGGAGAGTTCACAAATTGACCACGTGGGAGAAAATTAAAGAGATTTGGGTACAATATAAGTTCCAGAGAATTTTAAAGGAATTAGAAGAGCCTGAGACGGAAATGGGAAGAAAGCTATTCGGTCCTGAGGTACCGCACATAACCGAGTTGATGAATAACGTGGATCTGTTGTTTTTAAACGTTCACGCTTCGTGGGACAACAATAGATCGGTACCACCGAGTTTAATATATTTGGGAGGTTTACCCCAAAAACCAGGCAAGGAGCTACCAAAGGTCAGAATCTAATTATTTTATTTAAACTACCCTCGAAAATCCCTCAGTGTTGTGATGACGGGAAGGACAGACTTTTCATCAATTTATGTGAGCATGCATAGGTTCACCTGCCTTACCTTACCACCACCGTCTTATCTGTTTCTACCGCGAAACATAATACGTTCTGGTTTTCTGGAGTGCTCTGAGGAATTGTTAGAGATGATACCAAAGTCTCGTTTTTACCGTCACACCGCCATCGGAGTAGAGTTCATCCATACTACCTGAAGCCACTACGTTCATCCGCAGTGCGTTTCTAGAGATCTTTTTTGCCACGTACTATGGCTATGGAAAGAGCTCCCCTCCACAGTGTTTCCCGAGCGCTATGACATGTCCTTCATTCTTCAAACGAGGCTTGTGGAGAGTATTAAACGGTAGGCAGCGGCTTGGCTCTGCCCCTGACATTGCTGACGTCCATGAGCGACGGAAAACACTCCACCACCACCACCATCAGGTGGGCCGCATGCGCGTCTGCCTATGTGGCAATAAAAAAGATAAAAGGTAAGGTAGCCGTGATATGCAACGGAAATTTTGACTTGTCAATTTAGACCAGATACCTCAAAGTGGGCGGCAGCATTCACGATGTCTATAAGCTTCTCATAAATACTTAACATCTGATGGGTCGGGAACTCATTCGCCCCGTCACTTTTGCTAAAAAAAGGAAATCCAAGACTTTACTGGTGGTAGGACCTCTTGTGAGTCCGCACGGGTAGGTACCACCGCCCCGCCTATTTCTGCCGTGAAGCAGTAATGCGTTTCGGCTTGAAGGGTGGGGCAGCCGTTGTAACTATACTGAGACCTTAGAACTTATATCTCAAGGTGGGTGACGCATTTACGTTGTAGATGTCTATGGGTTCCAGTAACCACTTAACACCAGGTGAGTTGTGAGCTCGTCCACACATCTAAGCAATAAAAAAAAATTGTCATTTGACTCAAACATTACTGGCATTCACGGACATCAATAGCCGCTGTCTATTATTCAGCCTAATTTTATTATGCAGTGAATATCAGTCATGGATAGCGGTATTCATATTACGACGAATATTTTGTCTTTATTTTCCGAATGTTTCATCATGTAGTTGACCGTTGCTCAATACTGATTTTCGTGACGTTATTAATCACCGTTCTCGTCGCGGTGTCGAATGCGACGAAGGGCTCGTTGCTAAAATTAACACACAGACACAGCCCACGGAGTTTCTTCGTAAATTCGTAACGCTATACTCCATAAGTTCGCTAACACGCTAGACGAATCTAGCATAACCTCTCGAGGCTATTAGGATAGACAGGCAAAAAGTGAAATTAGTATAACTATTATAATTAGGGTTAAAGATATTCTTTATTCTCAAAAGAATTACATAAATTCACTTAAATGAGAACATTAAAATAGTTACAATTAATTCAGATCGTGCAGTACATGACAATAATTTACAGTAACAACATGCGATGCTATGACAATACATTTAACAAAAACTATAAAGATAATTACTATAACGATCCTTAAGTACTATTATTACTATATTATTAAAGCTGCAATTATCGTATGCTTCTCATTTATTTTCTAATGTAATTAAGATGTAATATCAAGATTTGAGTGTTGCGGGGATCACCGGTTTTTACTTTTTTCCTTACTTATTCGTTGGTAGCTTAAGAGGCTATTTCAGCTTCGCGCGGACGGGTAGGTGAGCTCACGGGCTCAACCCGAGAGAATTTGCTAACACTAACCTTAACAAGAGCAGTGCTTCGCCGAAGTCATCGTGGCCTAACGGATAAGACGTCCGGTGCATTCGTGTTGAACGATGCACCGGTGTTCGAATCCGAGGCGGGTACCAATTTTTCTAATGAAATACGTACTCAACAAATGTTCACGATTGACTTCCACGGTGAAGGAATAACATCGTGTAATAAAAATGAAACCCGCAAAATTATAATTTGCGTAATTACTGGTGGTAGGACCTCTTGTGTTTCCGCGCGGGTAGGTACCACCGCCCTGCCGTGAAGCAGTAATGCGTTTCGGTTTGAAGGGTGGGGTAGCCGTTGTAACTATACTTGAGACCTTAGAACTTATATCTCAAGGTGGGTGGCGCATTTACGTCGTAGATGTCTATGGGGTCCAGTAACCCCTGGGCCTGTGGTGGGCTGTGAGCTCGTTCACCCATCTAAGCAATAAATAAAAAAGAACCACCACCCGATCGGAATCGCGACCCACTGAGAAGATCCGGCGAGAAACTCAGTGGACTATGTGTACGGGATTCACCTTGCGATACATCACTGTTCTGTTGGTTCATCCAGCTGTAAGCCAATCTCCAGCGCTCGAATGACACTCGGTTTGTCTTTTTCCAGACCCTCAAATCCTATATGGACTCATCACGAAAAGGTATCATTTACATCAGTTTTGGTACGAACGTTTTGACCTCTCTGTTGCCCAAGGACAAAGTGAACGTTCTGTTTAGAGCAATCTCAGTTTTACCACACAACGTTATTTTGAAGTGGGACGCGGACAAAATGCCCGGACTTCCCGAGAACGTTTTAATGGGAAAATGGTTCCCGCAATCCGATTTATTAAGTAAGTATACACACACATTCAGGAGGCCGAACGTGTGTGATGGTCGCACGTTACGCAAGCGTGGTCTGAAATGATTTGTACTTTAAGCGTGTTGGAAGGTCCGACAAGTAGGCACTACAATTCTGCATGCTTATACTCCAAAGCAGTGACACCTCTGAAATTCAGTCAGAAAAATCAGCATTCTAATCTTACTACCTGAATCTGTTGTATTCATCAGCCTCGCGCTATACGTTACCGGAATGAATTTTTTACTGGTGGTAGGACCTCTTGTGAGTCCGCACGGGTAGGTACCACCACCCTGCCTATTTCTGCCGTGAAGCAGTAATGCGTTTCGGTTTGAAGGGTGGGGCAGCCGTTGTAACTATACTGAGACTTATATCTTAGAACTTATATCTCAAGGTGGGTGGCGCATTTATGTTTTAGATGTCTATGGGCTCCAGTAACCACTTAACACCAGGTGGGCTATGAGCTCGTCCACCCATCTAAGCAATAAAAAAAATCCTGTCACGGTGTTTGCTACACGTCTTCCAAAACATACCCGTTGTTAAAGAAGACCTTACAGACTTCAAGCTTAGTTATTCTTCTGGTATTAGCTAACGTCCTTAAAATACGCGAGCAAATGACCATCAAACGGACCTTACCCTCGTCCATTTTCAAAGAAATTTCCCGAGGCCTTAAAAAGAATTGGTTATACAATTAGTTTTACAAACGCACATAAAAAAATATTTTCATTTTCTAAAATCAGTTATTATTGCAAGTTCAATTCAACATTACAGTCAGTGTGTGGAAAAAAGAGGTTCTTAAAACTCCATTAGACTAAAATTTCAATTTTTAATTTACACGAACGAAATAGCGCCCTGCGATTTGTAGTACATATAAATTCGTCGAAAATAAATACAGAATAGTTATTTCTTTCAGTTTAGAATAACAACAGGGTTTGAACGTTATTTTTTTAGCTGCAAATAGACTAGTTAATGGCTCGTTTGGTTTTAAATGATTACTCGAGCTCATGAATATCATAATTAATGCCTTTTTTTATTGCTTAGACGGGTGGACGAGCTCAAGCCTACCTGGTGTTAAGTGGTCACTGGAGCCCATAGACATCTACAACGTAAATGCGCCACACACCTTGAGATATAAGTTCTAAGGTCCCATTATAGTTACAACGGCTGCCTCACACTTCAAACCGAAACACATTACAGCTTCACGGCAGAAATAGGCGGGATGGTGGTACCTACCCGTGCGAACTCACAAGACGTCCTACCATCAGTAAAAGTACTACAATTCTTTCAATTGCCTCCAGATATTTTTATAGCCATATAAGATCGTAGTCTCCATTTCATTGTTTAAGTCTATACCCACCTTCGAACAGAAACTTTTGTTTCGTGGCAAAAATAGAAAGATTTTTGATATCCAAAACAATAAAGGTAAGCTTCAATCAGTATCCAAAACCACATAAAATTGACTCTTAACCCTCATTCAGTCTTCAGCTACGACCTGTTACACTGATTTCGCCTGCAAACGATGGAAATTTTTGATGGAAGGTTTCTGATTGAAATTCGAATTTCAGAGCATCGAAATGTTAAATTATTCATAACCCAGGGAGGTCTCCAATCGACCGATGAATCCATAACAGCTGGAGTGCCGCTAATAGGCATACCGATGATAGGAGACCAGTGGTACAACGTCGAACAGTATGTCAAGTTTGGCATCGGCGTGGGCTTAGACCTGGAGTCCTTGACTGAGGCGGATCTGCTAGAAGCTATTCACAAAGTCATTGGTGATGAAAGGTAAACTTCAATTGCAGTGTTAGTATCAAATTTAAACATCAGGAAGCCGTAACGTTGTGATGGGTTCAGCATACATAAAAAAGATCACCGCGTGAATTGCAAAAGGAAAAAAACATCACACTTATCATTTAGCTATCTATATTACCCGGTGTTCAATTCTAGTGAATCTGCACGGGTAGGTACCACCGGCCTACCTATTTCTGCCGTGAAGCACTAATGCGTCTCGGTTTGAAGGGCGGGGCAGGCGTTGCAGTGTGAAAACTGAGACCTTAGAACTCAGTCTCTAGGTGGCATATAGGTTGTAGATGTCTAGGGATCCGGTAACCACTTAACCCCAGCTGGGCCGTGAGATCGTTCACCCACCTGAGCAATATAAAGAAAGGCAGAAGTTCAATACGCTGGTCGGACCAAATACGCGCCAATCTCAACACTTCTATCCACGTTGCTATCTACCCAGCCGAGAGTAGGCAGGAATAGCGCAAGATAATCCAGGGGAAAGTTATTAGAGGAGGCCACAACCATGAGCATTCAGGATTATCCACTCAAGAAGGAGGAGAAAATTGTATGGTTACTTTAAAATATACTCGGTTAAAATATATTTTTCAGCTACCGTCAAAACATAGCTCGTCTCCGGAGCCAGATGTACGACCAGCCCCAGAGCTCGTTGGAGCGCGCCGTGTGGTGGACTGAGTACGTGCTGCGTCACGAAGGAGCCAAGCATCTCCGTTCCCCAGCAGCCAATATGAGCTTGACCCAATACTTGGAGCTAGACCTATTATCCCTATTATTACTTCTAGTCTGTATCATCCTATTTGTAATCGGTTTAACAGTTTACAATATTGGGAACTTTTTAAGGATTACACAAAAAAATAAAATAAAAAGATATTGAACAATTTTCGTTATTATCAATTAAGAAATCCTACGTGACTTGGCGACGGTGAGCACTCATAATCGTGTATGCTGATCCGCTTTCAAAGCAATATAAAAATGAAAGCATTATAAGCTACTTAAACGTATATGAATGCGAAAAATGTTATATTAAGCAAAGACTTGGTTAATGACGAAGAGGTTACATTAGACGATACCATCGCTAACACAGTATTAAAAAAACACGAAATTGTCCACAAAGTGCAATTCTCTAAGTTGCAGTCAATTTTTGTTTATTGCTTCGATGGGGGACGAGCTCGCGACCTGGTGTTAAATGGCTACCGGAGCCCAAAGACAACAAAAACGCTGCCACCTATCTTGAGATATGTGGTCTCAGTATAGTTACAACGGCTGCCCCACCCTTCAAACCGAAACGCTTCATGGAAGAAATAGGCAGAGTGGTGGTACCTACCCTCTCAAGATGCCCTGCCACCAGTTTTACCGTTAATTACTTTATCCTTACTATTAGATAAGTCAAAGGTAAGGTTTTCACTGCGATATTGCTCAAGACTGTTCACTCAAGATATGAATGAATCAATCTCAATTCAGAAGAAATTTTGCAAACTTGACTTAAAAAAAATAAGGCGCAGTAATCACGATTACTCCATGGATGGAACTCCGTTAACTAAGACCTTAAAATTAAAAAAAAACGGTCACAAATTTCAAATATTATTTTTATGTACCGTCATACACGAAATACACCATAACGACGATATGAACCGGATTTTATTGTTGACAGCTGTTTTAATAAATCAAAAAAACTATTCATAACATTTTAAAATCAATAACCTTTCAAAGTTTTTCAGCAGAAAGGCGCGCTGATAGTAAATCTACACAGAATCCGTTCAAAATATAAAGGGTTGATTAATCAGGGAAAAACTTGTGACAGTCTATTATTATTCCAATACCACTAAAATGCTTTCACCTAATACCCATCAAGATAATTTTATAACTGGATTCAGAACTTGAATCAGCGTTTGATCGTTAGAGAGAGGAAAGCTTCTTGGCGCTTTTCATCCATTCAAAGGATCCGGCGAAAGCTCCCTAATAGTTTTCTAATGGTAATGAAGCATTGTCAGCATATGAACTTTTGTTAATGACATTTTAATCGAGTTCTAACTTGCTAAGCTTTATATATTAATGCAGCAATACGGATTTGATAATGTAAGGAATGATATGGAAGGAAAGATTGTAAAATGGAAATTTAAAAATGATATTAAATATTTAACTATAGATGGATGGTCCAATGGAAAACTTTAGAGAGTATTTCGTCAGAATGCGAAGAATATTTATATGAGCTTAGAAGCGAAGCAACTACCGAAACATCATGGCGAAGTTTTAATCAAATCAGAATAGTAACCGCACTCACTTCACATACCTATTGATTAATATTCAGCAATATTTAGAGTCAATCAACAATTAAGAGAAACATTATGCAACGCTTTTTTTATAGTTGCTACTTTTTTAGAGGTCCTTTCCTAGCTTATTTAAAGTCAGGTAAATTTCCGAATGAAGTTCGTATCTTCGATAGTTATATTAATCTTTCCATTTCTATTTTACTACATACAACATAATAAAAATACAACATAACTACCTCAATAGGTAAATGGGTAAATACCCTACCCTACCCTAGCCCTTTTACGGATGTATTTGTTTTTTTTATTTTATTATTGCTTAGATGAGTGGACGAGCTCACAGCCCACCTGGTGTTAAGTGGTTACTGGAGCCCATAGACATCTACAACGTAAATGCGCCACTCACCTTGAGATATAAGTTCTAAGGTCTCAATTATAGTTACAACGGCTGCCCCACCCTTCAAACCGAAACGCATTACTGCTTCACGGCAGAAATAGGCAGGGTGGTGGTNTTTATTATTGCTTAGATGAGTGGACGAGCTCACAGCCCACCTGGTGTTAAGTGGTTACTGGAGCCCATAGACATCTACAACGTAAATGCGCCACTCACCTTGAGATATAAGTTCTAAGGTCTCAATTATAGTTACAACGGCTGCCCCACCCTTCAAACCGAAACGCATTACTGCTTCACGGCAGAAATAGGCAGGGTGGTGGTACCTACTCGTGCGGACTCACAAGAGGTCCTACTACCAGTAACAGTAACAGTAATTATACTTGCTATTGATTCCAGAGATTCTATAGATAAAAAATTGGCAAACTGTGGATCCGAATCTATTGTTCTGAAATTTAAATCTTAAATTTTTCGACATTAGATACTTCGATTATATTTTCATAAAAAATAGCAAATGGCTGTAAATCTCCACGATTCAGTTTCTCCTCTACGAACACTGAGCTATATAGGTTTATATGTATATACACTTCTTCAACTCTCCAAGTTTGTAATGTGAGTTCGAGCTTCGACAAGCTCATGCATCCAAAAGCTACAAGTTCCGAAGTTTGCCTGTTGAAGTGTCATTAGTATTGTAGCGTATGTACTGTGATATTGTGTTGAGGCGTTTTATGCAAATCGTTAGACTTAGTGTGTGTTCAGAATACGAGGAAAGCTCCTTAGTAGAAAGCTAAGGAATTTATAATTTTGTTAACTGACCCAGCAGACTTTGTAGTGCCTCAATCGATAAATAAAAAACCTAAGCTTTTGTATAAAATAAACTTACGACAGACAAAAGGCATCCGTCCGACGGGGGACATCAAAGGAAAAACAAAATTGTTTGTTTTTTATATAATTCCGAGCATTTTCATATTAATTCACATTTTAAACCTTCTCTGGACTTCCGAATAATACAAGACCAAAATTAGTCAAATCGGTCCAGCCGCTCTCGAGTTTTAGCGAGACTAACGAACAGCAATTCATTTTTATATATATATATTACTCTAAATAGGAATATCAAATAAAAAACAACCTGGACCTTTCAAAAACCATTCGAGTATTAACCGTATCGGCTTAGATTTAATGTATAAAATAAAAATAATATTCTCCATTGATGATGAAGCTCGGATCCTTTACTGATCATCATCTCATCAGGATCACCATTCATCAACCTCTTTAAGGTATTCTCTGAGGGCCTAGGATCACCTCCTGGACATTCTGAATACATCATATTGTGGTCGCAATCCTACAAAAACAAACAATTTTATCTAAGAACGTCCTATTAGTAAGTTATATTGATAAGAACAGTTATTGCTGTAGCGTTTATATCATCCAGCCCTACTTTTGCAACGAGAGCTTTTATTATTGACAAACCGAAGTGAAATTTTATAAAGGATGTTACGTTTTTATGTAACGCGAACGGTGTCATCGGATTATCGAATAGAGTTGAAGCTTGATACATTTTTGGCTATTTAGACAAGGATATCACAATATCATGCATTGCATTTTTTTTATATTTTTTTTATTGCTTAGATGGGTGGACGAGCTCACAGCCCACCTGGTGTTAAATGGCTACTGGAGCCCATAGACATCTACAACGTAAATGCGCCACCCACCTTGGGATATAAGTTCTAAGGGCTCAGCATAGTTACAACGGCTGCCCCGCCCTTCATACCGAAACGCATAACTGCTTCACGGCAGAAATAGGCAGAGTGCTGGTACCTACTCGCGCGGACTCACAAGAGGTCCTACCACCAATACCATCTTATGACTAATCATCTTACTGGCTATCATAATTAAGTTCCCTTGAATCTTTTGAAAAAATTCAGCAAACGCAAACATAGAATCTAAGTTTGTCGGAAAAAACAGCGAAAAGTGGCTAATCATGTTACTGGCTATCATAATGAAGTTCTTTTGAATTGGGAAATTCGGGAATAACAAACAAAGAAAAAATTTTTTCAATGCTCTTGTAGGCAGACGAGTATACGGCCCACCTGATGGTGAGTGGTTACCGTCGCCCATGGACTTCAGCAATGCCAGGGGCAGAGCCAAGCCGCTGCCTACCGTTGAGAGTAGGCATCTAAGAGATATAGAGAATCTAAGTCCAACAACTATCCACTATCTAAACTAAAACCAAACCCGCAAAATTATAATTTGCGTAATCACTGGTGGTAGGACCTCTTGGGAGTCCGCACGGGTAGGTACCACCACCCCGCCTATTTCCGTCCGAGGTCGTCCACCCATCTAAGAAATAAATAGTCCATCTAAGTCCAACAGAAAATCCAACCTGATGAACGTTACCCGATGATACAAAAACGGAATATTTCTGCAAAGTGACTGCGTGTTCACGTGAGCATTTAGAGCCCGGCGACTCAAATAGCGCTTCGAACGTGCACCGCCTGAACTTCGCTCGTGCGCTGAAACAAAAAGCTTTCTCGGTTAGCGCGTAATACTTTCGTAAGCCTGAAGGTTCCGCACAATCTACCGTACCATTCTTAAATGTGTTTTGGAACGAAATTCCTTATGACGATGCGAAGGGGTACCCTAACCGGGAAAAAACGTCCGTAACGTAAGATTTTTAGTAGTAATGCACACAGTGTACGACTTAACTTTGTAATAACGTGCAAAAAATAACATATTTTTTTATCATTCATTGACCACGATCTCAGAGCGTTTGTTTGCGCAATACACTAACTCTTATGCAAAAAACAGTGAATGAAGTGTACCACAATAAGTTCGCACGTTACCGAATGACCGTGGGTTGTTGCGAAACCTCCACTTTTATTTTCTTTATACCTCGAATAGAACTTTAAATTAATATTTTTATAATAAGGAACTTCGTTCCTATCCGGTGTCCCACGACACCACACATCTTTTTGTTTGTTTGTTAATCACCCAAATGACAACTTAGTATCCTTGATACCCACTTCTATAGGTACCAAAAAATAAGCGAAAAAACGTATTCCTTTGTCTGATTCCATTAACAAAAACCCGTCATTTAAAGCATCTTTAAAAAATAACTTGGAAAACGTGGACATCTCACACAGAATACATTAAAATGTATCAGCCTTAACGCTTAAAAATTTTTGTATAATCATTTTACATTAGTTCTTAAGTAACGTCCTCTGCGGATTATAGGATATATTTTAAGTCCGTAATGAGTACCGTCGGTAGATAGATAACTATATCAATGGTTAGAATAGTGGTAGAACCAATGGCATTGAGGCTTTATCTTATAGCTCAAGTTGGATATTGGGAAGAGGATCATGGGCTTTGATAAACACTCAACATCACGACTCACTATCTGCCCGTCCACTCAATCATATCCTCATTGCTAATTACAAAATTTTCTTATGCAATTCATTGACTGGCACTGCTTTGATCTTAATTACCCTTCACCACAGCTAATACGCTGCGAATCGAAAAACCCTTGAAGCCAGATTCGCTAACCGTTTCGTTTAAAAAAAATCTTACGTTACGGACGTTTTTTCCCGGTTAGGGGGGTTAGTTACCCCTCCGTATTGTCCCATAAAGAACTTCGTTCCAAAATTGCCGCGATACAGAACCCTAACGTATATGAGTTCCAATTAAGCGCAAAGTCAACAGTTGACTTGCGTTTCGCATGTGCGGAATCAAGTTAATATTCACTGCAGCATTTTTCAACTCTTCTCTGGTAGCGCGTTTTAGAGACACTGACAATAACACTGTTGAATTCTATGTGCAAAATTGAATCGTAGTTTGTAAGATTAGCTTGTTTTATAATTTTGTCACTCCAACATTTAGCTCTAATAGCTTTGAAGTGAATTGGAATCATAAGTCAGTGTTTTGATTAGAATTTCTCGAACACTACGGTCAAGCCTACAAAAACAAATTCCATGCGTGGGAAAAGAAGCACAGGCCTCATTATAAAATAAATATTGTTTCCTTAAGGTCGTTAGTTACTGACGACTCTCACGGGGGCAAGGACCTTTCTCAAAACGTAATCCTTTTTAATAAAGAATTCATATCCTATATGCTTGACTAAATACAGTAAATAAAAGTGACATTCACATGTTATATTTTTCTGGCACTATAATCGATCGAGCTCTCGGTCGATTTGTTGGTATGTTTTATCGCCCAAAGACATCAAAACGTCACCAATTTTAAGGTAATTCAAATACTTTTTCAATGACCACCGGTATGTGCTTAACATGAAGCTGGCCATACCAGCATTTAACTGAAACCTGACATAGTAACCCCCAAGCTACGTATTCCACAAGATTGATAAACAAAAATAATATCTCACCAACACAATTTAAAATGTGTTTGATAGTGCGTCCATTCGTTTGTTTTGTTCTTTTCGCGATCCACCACATCGGTGAATGTCCTGTAGCATCCTTCCCAAGCGTCGCCTGATCTTGATATGCAATCAGACACTTGGTCATATTCTAGGAACAAAAAGGAGGTTGGAAGAAAAAAATTAAGCCTAAATTCGAGTGGTAGTGGAATAAGTGCGAATGGGACTCTTGAAAAGAGGGGGGTTGGGGGAGGGGGTAACCGAACATGTTGTAGGTGGAATGAGGTTTCTCACAAATGTACCTACTATAAAGTTCCTTAGAACGTGTGACACCTGGTGCTAGGGCGTATTATAAGAGACAAAATGACCATGATTTTTTCTGTCTGCAACGAAAGCATACATTCCGGTTTTAAAGGTGGGGTGGGTTATTATAATACACAATTAAGAGTCCGTGGTTCGTGAGGAACATCGACTTACACGATGACCTGGGCCTCGAATCGATCCGCAAACACATGAAGTCAATGTCGGAACGTTACTTCGATAAGTCTATGCGTCATGATAATCGCCTTATCGTTGCCACCGCTGATTACTCCCCGAATCCTGATCACGCCGGAGCAAGTCACCGTCGTCGCCCTAGACACGTCCTTACGGATCCATCAGATCCAATAACTCTTGCATTAGATACCTTCAGCTCTAACACTAGGAGCAGGCTGAGGAACCCCGGTAACCGTACTCGTCGAACTCGACAAAGAGGTCGACGTGCAACCTAACCCATGCATCAGCCCGCTGAGTTTCTCGCCGGATCTTCTCAGCGGGTCGCGATTCCGATCCGGTAGTNAATAAAAAAAAAAAAAAAAAAAAAAAAAACAATTAAGATTTAGATCTCATATCTCATAGTAATGGCGGCATTTGTGACGTCTAGGGGCCTCAGTGACCTCAACACCAGGTGCATTGTGACTTCGTGTGAACATGCAAGAAAAGCGACGCGTCCCTCGTTCCCTTCTTGTTATAAAGTGCGTAAAAAACAGCACTAAATATAGGTTCGCGAATCCGTTTTTTAATTTTATTACATCTTACTGGTGGTAGGACCTCTTGTGAGTCCGCACGGGTAGATACCACTACCCCACCTATTTCTGTCGTGAAGCAGTAATACGTTTCGGTTTGAAGGGTGGGGCAGCCGTTGTAACTGTACTGAGACCTTAGAACTTATATCTCAAGGTGGGTGGCGCATTTACGTTGTAGATGTCTATGGGCTCCAGTAACCACTTAATACCAGGTGGGCTTCAGCGCTTGTCAACCCACCTAAGCAATAAAAAAAATAAAAAAACATCAAATCATTGTACCTCACGGTCTACCGAATATATTGGAATACCCAATGATCCGTATATTCACTAAAAAGTAAACGTAGTCGCTTTTAAAGACGTTTAAAGATTGATTTAGGTTGTAGATGTCTATGGGCTCCGGTTACTACTAAACACCAGGTGGACCGTGAGCTCGTCCAATCGAAGCAATATAGAAACTAAAGATTTAGATAGATAAAGAGCACCCTTTGTTAAAGCCATATACTTCTCCTGTCATAAAAAAACGTACATTTTACACAATTTACAGAGATTAGAATAATTAGAGCATGGATTTTTTGTTTTTTTTTTTAATTTTATTTTGCTTAGGTGGATGGACGAAATCACAGCCCACCTAGTGTTAAATGGTTACTGGAGCCCATAGACATCTACGACGTAAATGCGCCACCCACCTTGAGATATAAGTTCTAAGGTCTCAAGTATAGTTAAAACGGCTGCCCCACCCTTCAAACCGAAACTCATTACTGCTTCACAGCAGCAATAGGCGGGGAAATATGAAACTAGAAGAGTGACACCATCAAAAACAAAACTGTTTTTTAGTAGAAGAGTTTATCAAACAGTAATAATTCTGAATCGGAAAAAAAAAAAATTATAAAACAAAATTTAACTGTAATTTTGTTTTTGCAAAAATGTATAAACATTTACTTCACACTCTAAAAGGTGATAGATACCACTATGAAAAAAAAAACACACATTTTTTTAATTGAGGCGGTCTTCTGCGAAATGTCAAATTGTAATTTAAATACTGAAATGCAACCCCAATTACAAAATATATACGTGCGTATCCGCCTCAATATCAATTTCTTCCTAATTACTCGACGAGCGCGTAGTTAAATTTTGCCGATGGGATTTCAAACGCACACGCCACAGACTTAAGGTTTACATTTCTCCGACAAAATTAAGCGTCCATAATTTAACGTGCTATGTTTGTAATATCTTTTGAAGCCACACACAACTGTCAACCTTACCGTTTGGATTTTAAGATCAAATCTCCCTAATCAATAGTTTAATATGTTCGAATGTGATAGAGATAAAACGCGTCTATTGGCTAGAAAATAACGCTGATATTTGACTGACGTGTTATAAACCACTCGTCATCGCAGACGCTGCTGTCAACGTGCATAAGACCCTTGATACTTTCATCGTTGAAATGTTGCTCTGTGACGTCATTGCAGTCTGAATTCCAGTCTATGGCGCAGTTTATATGGTGTTTTATAGATCTGAAAAAGGAATAAGGACTTTGCGATAATGTTCGTTAATTTAAAACTGACCAAAATCTGTATATTCTCATTGGCCTAGTGGTTAATGGTCCTGAACTATTAAACAGGGTGGGTTATACAAATTGATTATTTTAATGTCTTCATTATAAATCACTACATAGTATAATACAAAGTCGCTTTCTCTGTCCCTATATCTGTCCCTATGTATGCTTCCCTATCCCTCTCCCTATGTAATCTTTAAAACTACGCAACGGATTTTGATGCGGTTTTTATTTATTAGATAGAGTGATTGAAGAGGAATGTTTATATGTATAATACCATTAATTAAATAGTGGAGAAATCAATAATCTATATATTAATACGTGAAGCAAAAACTTTGTATCCCTTTTTACGAAAATTGCGCGGACGGAGGACTATGAAATTTTCTACACTTATAGAGAATATAGAGAAGAAGTGCACAACGCTAATATTTGTTTAAAGTAATGCATAAAAGGTACATTAAATCAATAAAGAAAACATTACACACACTACATACCATGTATTTGACGCACACACGCATGCATACTATTTATTGTCAAACTTTTGTTCTTGACGTTTGTTGTCAAATTGAGAATAGATTAAATATTGTTTGTCTTTGCTAATATTTTTTATAGTGTAGTCTTGGCGAAATTTGTGATTATAGTGTGAGTATAAAATACAATCATAATAGTGTACAAACTTACAATTCCAATTAATTATAGTCGAATTTCGACTACTGCGGGACCTCTAGTAAATTACAGTTTCCCAAGCGAAGCGAGGGCGGGTCGCTAGTTAAATATGTTTGTCCAAAAAGGAAAAATAACAATCCGATTCTTTAAGAAGTCAACGAGGAAAACAATACCATAATCCACTAAGCAAAGCCTAAAATCCCACCTGCACCAATCTCCGATTTTCTCAGGCGTCGGTGGCGCTTTCCTGCTAGAATTGTAAATAAGAGCCGCTTCGACCTCGCAGTTCAACGCGTACTTATAAAATTCGTGACAGTTCAGATTCTTAGCTGTTATTTTCGCTTTGTCTTTGCCGAGCGGCGAAATCGGTTCAAATTCGATATCTTCAAATGTCGGAAGACGCGGTCGCTGCGATGCCTCGTCGTAGTGATACAAATCTAAAACACAAGTGGTAGGATCTGTTGTTGCAACCAAAAACTAATATGGTGGTAGGAACTTTTGTGAGTCCGCGCGGGTAGGTTCCACCGCCCCGCCTATTTCTTAAGTTACGGACGTTTTATCCCGGTTAGGGTACTTCTCCGCATTGTCTCATAAGGAACAAATCACAGTTTCACACAATCACATGGTTTCGTTGTAATGTGAATCGCTAACTATATCAAAATAAAGGCTAGGCTATTAGATGATTTTAATTTCACTTTTGAAACAAAACAGTAGCTATAATGAAAGTAGTGTTAAAGATAAGCGATGGTGTTAAGGCCAGGAGGACAAATATTTGTCTACCATCTAATACATTTGTTAAGCTTCATTCGCAAAACATTGAGAATATTCAATAGCTAGGATATTAATTCTATAATGAAGTCTGTATGTGCGTAGCATAAAATACGTTTTAATGTGAATAAAAACATGTGCTTCCTGATAACACAGCTCTTCCGAGGATGTGTACAATAAAAAGCAAAAGGTCAAAAACTCACAAACAGCTCTTAAATCCTGAAAAGATAATATAAAGTAGACTAAAACAATCATAATTCAGAAGATTTTTTTTTGGGGAACATCATGAACGGACTCCTAATTTATGAAACTTCAGTGTCAGGTCTGACTTTTGCTGACTTTTAATCTGTAAAGTTAGTTTCAGTTATAAAAAAGGTCAATCCATTTTACAGTTGGTCTAGAAATTATATTAGATTGGTGGAAAATTTTCACTCACCTTTCAGTATAATGTATATATTAGGTATATATTTTGTGGAACTTTCCAGAATTTGTTTTTTTGGTTTTATGAATTGTGTCGGTAGTAATTTTAGTTTTGCTGGTTGATTCCTAAAAATATTACGCTCAAAGCCAAGCCTCAACGTTACGTATAAAAATCCACGAAAATACACTTAACTAAGTATAGAAACTAAGCTAAGTTACTGAAGTGCATTAATGACAAAACCTTTAAAATACATACCTATCTGGCTATGGAATGAGCTCCCCTCCACGGTGTATCCCGAGCGCTATGACATGTCCTTCTTCAAACGAGGCTTGTGGAGAGTATTAAGCGGTAGGCAGCGGCTTGGCTCTGCCCCTGGCATTGCTGAAGTCCATGGGCGACGGTAACCACTCACCAATCAGGTGGACCGTATGCTCGTCTGTCTACAAGGGCAATAAAAAAAAAAACCTTCCTGCTTCTTAAATAATTTAATGAACTCACAGCTGATAGGGTGAACTAGCGGCTATAGCAATTAATTAAAACGTAAATAATACTTGAAAACATTGTTTACTTTTATATGAGAAAATATAATACAGAATGACAACGCACATCAAAAGTAAAAGAACATAATACAAATTCGAATGTAGTGCATCATAAACAACTACACGTGGACAGCATCACGACCTTCCAACAACAGCGCATATGGTTTAAGCTGGTTAATGGAGCCCATAGACATCAAAAGTGAATGCTACTTCATCAACTCTCGGTGCTGCTCCAACTATTTTTCAAAGCCAGCAGCAGTCAAGGCGCTTGTTGATCTCATCGAAGATTTCTGGGTAACACTTAACAAAGACAACGAACCTTTGGAATATGTTCTTTTGTCACTTAAATCGCACCGTTTGTTGTAATATTTTTGTGTAATCATAGTAATTGGAAAATTTAATTATATAAATAATTTCCAAATTGTTAAATGGATTAGCCAAGAAATAATTTAACGTTGGCTACGCGAATCTACGACTCTTTCTTTCGGTTTTAATTAGATTGCGTTCGGTAACAATTAGTTTATAAAAGTTCTGAAAGTAAATGAAATGCGATTGCATGCAGCAGAGATGCGAATGTTGCGATGGATGTGTGTAGTAACGAGAATGGATAGAATACAGAATGAATATGTTAGATGAAGTCTGAAAGTGGCACCTGTGACAGAAAAGCTGAGAAGTACGCGTTTGGTATGGTATGGACATCTGATGAGACGAAATGAAAATGAGGTTGGTAAGAGAATGTTAACTATGAATGTGGAAGGATATCGAGGAGGAGGTAGACCTAAGAAGAAATGGATGGATTGCGTGAAAGATGATATAGGTAAGAAGGGTGTGAGCGAAGAAATGGTATATGATAGAATATTATGGAAGGAGAAAACATGTTGCGCCGACCCCAGATGACTGAAAGAAGAGCAGGATAATGATGATGAATGATGATGAAGTTCTGAACGATGCATTAAGAAGACCGCGCACCGATTTACCCAGCGTTTTCTTACAGACGTCGGAGGAACGAAGAGGGCGGCTGCCTTCTTGACAACTCGACAATTTCCGGCGCCGGCTGTGATTGGGAACCACGGGTGCGACAGCAAATACGTAGCTCACTTTCAAAGATACAAGACTACTTATTTGCGGAATGATTATTATGAAAAATATTTTTCACTTGTTATGAATGTTAACTTAACTTATTATTAACTTAACTTTTTATTCATGTTAAAGATTATATCAATCGTAAAGCAATGATCTCAAAAGAGGTTTTGTAAATTGGAGACCCATTGTAATATCAGAACTAGGTGGAGTTACCACATTGAAGAAAATTCAACAGTAATTTTAATTTTGTACATTAAAAACTGTCTAAATGTTTAATTGAAGTTATAGTTGCGCGGTAACAGAACGAGCCTCATACATTATAAGAGCTTCCGCGCAAAGCTTCCTGCACGAAAGCTTATAGCAGCTTATTGTTCACGTGCTTTTGTGGTCATAAAATATTTTATGTTTCTCACATTCTCATTGTTTAAACTAGATTTACGTTTTAAAGCTTCCTACAGATTAGATAAAGACTTACCGAAAGATTTCGGTTTCATAAAATTAGCTTTTTAAGGGGTTATTAAATAGATAGGGCGTATGGGAGGCCCGCATGGATGGGTTCCACCATCTTGTCAATTGTAGTCGCGAAGCAGTCATTTATTACTTTTTTTTTTAATTGCTTAAATGTGTGGAGGAGCTCACAGCCCACCTGGTGTTAAGTGGTTACTGGAGCCCATAGACATCTACAACGTAAATGCGCCACACATCTTGAGATATAAGTTTTAAGGTCACAGTATAGCTACAACGGCTGCACCACCCTTCAAACCGAAAGGCATTACTGCTTCACGGCAGAAATAGGTGGGCTGGTGGTACCTACCCGTGCGGACTCACAAGAGGTCCTACCACCAGTAAAAATGTTTGGAGAGTTCGATACCCATATACACTCCACGTATACAATTGAACTTCGACCTCATGTTTCGAGGTCGGTGTTACCAAACACTTTACACCAGATGTTCCGTGAGGTCGTTTATACAACGCAACAAAATATAGCTTAACTATCTTTCGCAAAGATGCTGTTTTCCCTACCCATTCGCTCGTAGTCTAAGGGGTTATCTCAGCTTCGCGCAGACGGGCAAGATATTGATTCACCACCACATATTGAAATCGTCGTGGCCTAAAAGATAAGACGTCCAGTACATTCGTGTTGAAGCGATGAACCGGTGTTCAAATGCCGCAGGCGGGTACCAATTTTTCTAATGAAATATGCACTTAACAAATGTTCACGATTGACTTCCGCGGTGAAGGAATAACATCGTGTAATAAAAATCAAACCCGCAGAATTATAATTTGCGTAATTACTGCTGGTAGGGCCTCTTGTGAGTCCGCGCGGGTAGGTACCGCCACCCCGTATTTCTGCCGTGAAGCAGTAATGCGTTTCGGTTTGAAGGGTAGGGCAGCCGTTGTAACTATACATGAGACCTTAGAACTTATATCTCAAGGTGGGTGGCGCATTTACGTTGTAGATGTCTATGGGCTCCAGTAACCACTTAACACCAGGTGGGCTGTGAGCTCGTCCACCCATCTAAGCAGTAAAAAAAATAAAAAAGGGTAGGTACCACCAGGCTGCCTATTCCAGCCATGAAAAAGTAATGCGCTTCGATTAGAAGGGTAGGGCAGCCGTTTTTCAACAAAAACCGAGACTTAGAACTCTTTTCTCAAGGTGGGTGACGGCATTTACGTTGTAGACGTTTATACACCATTTAACACAATATGGGCCGTCAGCTCTTCCACCCACTTTAGCCATAAATACAAAAATAAGGGAAGAAAATATTACTCCAAAAGATTGGTGTTTTTTTTTGTAGGAATAAAATATTGGATAACATTGACAGCCGCAAATCTTGGAAAGAAAAAAAGAAGAAAAACAGTTGTCAAACAGCAGACCAAAAAGGTACTGATGAAGAGCACTCAGAAAGTCTTCGCTTATTTAATTCAGTTTGTTAACCTTTTGCGATCCTAAGACTAATGTAAGACTAAGCTATATGTTCAATACGTGTCGACTCTGGACCTCAAAGGGTTTAAGTGTATCACCAAGACGATAGGATAATAGGCGTTGAAAATTCAGTAACGAGGTCGATAATAGCAAACAATTCGTGTTTCGTGAAACGTCAAATCCATACGTGTCGGGATCAAATGAACACAATACAATCTCGAAAATTTAGAATACAAATAATAGAGTGAGCGATTTCGCGGGAAGCAAATCGTTCAGTCGAAACCATTGTACTGCTAAGCATCGCGGGCGGGAAATTGAGAGCGATCGTAAAAATGAAATGGAATTTGATTTGAGTAAAGAAGATGAATATTGACAATAAAAAAATCCAATTTTATGCATAACCAGATGATTATGAAAAAAAAACAGTAGTTTGAGTTGAGAATGAGATGAAATCAACGTAAGACATGTCATTTTTCAAGCGAAGCCTAAAAAGCCCGCACCGGTAAGCCCCGGCTTAGCTGCGCCTTCGACATCGCTGATGTCCGTGGACTACGGTGATAACACACTACCAAGTGTGCCAAAAAATAAATACATTGGCGGGTTTATAGCTATTCCAATCGAAAACGACCGTGTTGTATAATTTGAATGTTTAGACAGTCATCAAATTATAATAATAAGCATTATAATATATAATTAAAACTATTCAAGTATTATGTACATACAGTAATGACAATAAAATCTAATCTATAGAGTTAAACTATGATTATTATTACAAAAATATTTCTTTATTATTTGAGTAATTGTTTTCATAAACGTTTAGCCAAATTTTTTTACGATTTTATCCAGAAACTCTTTCAAAGTTTGTTCCCGATTAAGAAAGACTTATGATCAAAGAAAGGGCCCTTACGAACTACCTAATTGCATTGAAGCGATAATCACTGAGTGTTGGTGTAGCAATGCCCTTGTCAATGTTACGGAGTCAGTTAAACCCTAAACGAAAATTAGAGGATTAATTCCACTGAATTCGAGCGGCTCTCGTTACCATAGACGAACCGCTGTTGTTTCATTAAATACTTTTTAATTATTTAAATTGGGCTCCGTGATTGCGGATACTGGATCGTGCGAGCCTGAGATACTAATGTTACGGCGGTAAGAGTAACGCCATCTATCCCCGAATAGTCCAACGAATATCGAACGATCTAGTAGCACCTAGAACGCTCGAGAAGTACAACACCATCTATTGTCAGATTTCGGAAACACATTACTAGAGATGTGTGGAATATTCTCGATAATTCTAGGGATGAAGTATCGACTATAAAAGCGTTGCAGGGATGGCACGCAGTCAGTCAGTAATCGGAACTACTCGAAGCGAAACAGCGAACGGGTCACCTGAAGCGAAGCGGAAGAAGCGAATTGAGAATTTTTAGTGCTTGTTGTATGTTTTAAGTG